AATTTTTGATATTTTTTTCATGTTAAATATTGACCATCAGATTTTCTGAAATATGTTACAAGCAGAACCCAGTCTCTGTTACTAGATAACAGCGTATATCTTGCTTAATCCTCAAAATTAAAGCTTTGATATTTCGTAATATATACAAGCTATCTACATTTGTACATCTACAGAAGCAATCAACAGATAAGCTTCACATGTACAAGTGACATCACTCACACGATCAGGATTACATTTGCAATTTTATCACAATCGTGGTTAATCATCAATCCGATGAGTAGGAGGAATGAGCCATAAAATTCATGATACAACTGATCATCATGTTCATATTAACATATATGTAAAACGACATTTGGTTTGGTTTAGTTAATATTGTTATCAACAGCTATGGTCATTTAAGGACGGCCTCCCCTGTGTGCAAGATGCATGCGTGTAGTATCTGCATGTGTGTTTTGGGAGGCTGCGATATGTTCGTGTTTGTCGACTTGTGATAGCGCGGAACTGATGCCGACTTTATAGTGCTACCTAACTGGCTATTGTGATAGTTCAATTTTTGTGGTATCTACTATCACGAAAGTACATATTTCAATAATACTGTATTTGATACTCCACTTATACTACTAAGCTTCTTTCTGTCAATTCTCTGTTGGTTGGTTGGTATAAGGTCATTTTTTGTCTTAAATATGCAAGATATCGTTGCCATGCTATGCTGTCTGCTGGCATGATTATCAAACATTCCCACAACATTGAGTATATAAAGTATGTACAGTAACATCTACATGGTATGCAATTACAGTGATTTTTTAACTTCTTTTTCTAAAGGGCTGGTGCCTTTTTTTATTGGAAATTTTACTGCGCGGACACAATGAATTAGGAATTTTACGACATTTTACGGATGTATGATATTAGGGAAATTTTGTTTGATCGCAAGCAAACGACATCATGTGTAAACAAAACTTGAAGCTTGAAGTCAATGCCCCAAGATAAAAATGTATTTGTAAAAAAAGTTAAAAACATTGTACAACAGTTTATGAGAAGGCATATGCTTTAATTTTTTTACAAGCAATTGAGAAAATATTGGGTCAGAATTGGGAAAACTTCACTTGGGGAAAGTACCTAAAGTCGACACTAAAAAAGGGGTAAAAAATCGCTGAATTAAAATGTACATATGAATGAGAGCAATACCCAGGATAAGAGATTACAGCTTGAATCCTTGTATTAGTGCGGCCAAGTGCGTCTTAATGATAACCACTAAATTATCAGTACTCGTAATCACTTGGTATGATAATGAAAACCGTAAGTGTTAGTAGTTTGAAACTATTGATTGTTTAGCATACTATTACCGATTCTTATATATATATATCAAGTTTATGAAATTTGCCATCAATTAATCAAATCGAGAGATACTGTACAATCGCCATCTATTAATAGCAAAATATATCGTTACACCACTAGTTTTAAGAAATAGTATCTTTCATACATGCATGAACTGTGAACCTGTCGCGATGCGATGGACGTTCAAGTTCTTTATAAAGTTACGGACAGGAAGTCGATCGACCTTCAATATAAACTGGTCGGTCCTGTTGTTACATGTGACACATGCAATCATATTGATGAAACTATCCCTCTGCTGTACAAACAGAACTTGATTATCTCGGAGGTGAGGCTGTCACGATTCTATCTCATTATTAGTGCACTATTTATTACATGGCTGTCTGATGAAATATTGACTTCAGCTAAATAACGAAATTAATTATTTAGGATCCTATTAAATACATCTGGGTTTAGTTTAACTTTTTTATGCAGTATGTACAAATTAAGCATGGGGACACACTAAGACACGTATAATAAATATTCTCTTTTAAAGTACAATGTCTGAATCCCGTGCACATCTATTCTGATTTATTGATTTCTTATAAATACACAAATTACACAGGTAAATAATTAACTTTATGCATCTCTTAATCAATCACCTTTAACTGGCAAAGATACGGACTATTACCAGGTGGCAAAATAACAGTGGCCAACGTCGGCAGAACCATCAGATTTTAAGGGGTCCTTTTTACTTCAAATGGGATCCTTCCCATATTATATTTAAACAATATCAAGACATGTTTAAGCATGAACATGCATTAATATTGTGATTTCATAGATGCAGCTTAATGAGTTTTATTCCCCTTATTTAATTAAACGCAAATGAGTTAATTTTACATAATAAACAAATTATTATCTTAAAATATTTAATTACAAAGTGAATTACAAGTCGTCGGTAAGTGTTGATCAATTAAGGGGCACCTGTACATGTTACATTGTAAAATCATTTAAAGGCCAAACCTCAACAACACACAAACCTTATCTATATATAGATCTAGCTGTTAAATTATATTCCTGAATATATATCAATATTACACAACAATAACTTTTTGTCTATGAATTTAAATGTATAGATATATACCAAACTTTGAACCAAGTTGTTTGTAAATGTGAAAATCATGTATATGCATGACACTAGATAAATATCCAGAATGCTTTTGATTTTTCAAAATTTATGTGAAAGGTTACCACTTTATGGGGTTTGCAATGTATATATATTATATACCTTACAATATTACTAAATGTATATACCTTACAATATTACTAAATGTATATATTATCTATGTACAATCAGTAATTTTTCTACTTCCTTTCCACAGGGGCCTGTGCTTGTTGATTTAGGAAAATATATAATCACCCACAAAAAATCATGATTTTGGAAAAAACAGCAATAATTATCTCTGAAATTGAAAATACCCTGTTTTCAAGATCGATATTTCCTGAACAATAATCGAATGATTTAGTGATCACATGATACGAAAGAACAGTTATAGTTCTGGCGAGAAAGTATATAAGCAGAAATTTAAGGATCCCTGTACCACTGCCCAAAACTGTGACAAAGTTTTGGAAACTTTTTTTTATTGCAGCATGACTATAGCTTTCAAAATTCATTTCTAAACAGAAAACCGTACCGTGTGGGACCTTTTTATAAGTATAGTAAAGATGAAATAAACTAAATATTATTAACCCTTTCACCCCTAGGTATTTTTGGTAGACTCTACCATAGATTGATCTGGACGAGTCCATTATGGTCTACAGTACTAGTGGTGAAAGGGTTAACCATCTTGTTATGGGTTTTAGAAAATAATTCAGTAGGGCTAGACAGGGATTCGAACCCTGGACTTTAAGACTGTTATAGTATCCCTCTAACTTTCAAGGCTACCTGCAGCTGGTCAACAGAAGTGTCATATGGCCCAACTAGTATTGTCTCGGTGATCGATTATAATCAATATGATTATTATCTAATCGGAAAGGCAACCGATTCCCGACAATCGATTATGAGATGTCAACATCGATGATTGTTTTCAAAACCAGAAGTGCGAGCTCCACTTTCATTTTCACTAAGAGAGAACAGGAGTTCTATGTCATTTTACTCTTAACTATAACTTCTTACCAATCATGCTATTCAAACATAATTAATTGCAAAAAATATAAATGACAACTGTTCATCAATAAGATTGTTACGTTGAAATGGTATGATAAAAAATAATGATACAAAACTATGCGGAAAAGTTGAAATTTCATTAATAGTATTAGTAAAAGGAAAAGCTGTGCCATTGTTAGAAAAAAGGAATATTTTTTTAAGGATTATAGTAACTGTAGACTAACCGATTAATAACCGAAAATCGATCGGTTGACACTAACCGATTATATCCAATCATCGATGTTGAAATCTCAACCGATTCCCAACACTACCTTTATTAAACCATCATAAAACACTACAATCTTACAATGATATACCGTTCCAAACAATATATGAACATCTTGGATCTGATTTCATCACTTGTTGCTCATAACAAAGACATTTATATGAGTGTAACAGCAGTTATATTTTTTCCAATGCCTCTGCTAGTAGTCAAACCCAGGACCTCCTCTGGTTTACATTAATTAGTCCAATTAATGCTCTCCCGAAGGAGCTAAAGAATTTTTTTTTTTTTTTACCAAACTGACAGGAATAGAACTCATCCCGAGTTTCCTGGGGGTCATAGCGATTTTTGTGAAAGTATAATGAAAGAGTTGTCAATATTTCCTGGGTCCCTATATGGGCGCCAATGTAACAGCGGTCATATTTTTGTGAACGTCACTGCTAGGAGTCAAACCTGGGACCTCTGGTCTTACATACGCTGTCCTGAATGAGCTAAAGAGAAATTCTCCCTGGCCAAGTCCGTAGGAAGCGGCTAGTATTTTACCAGGGTGACATAAGTGTCTAGACGCCTCTAAAGACTTTTCATTATTAAGCATCACAAAATTTCACTCAGGTTACTAACTAAACTAACCTAAGTATGTACATCTGGTGAGATCCGGAGGCTTATGACCCATTCTTTGTATTAACCACGATTGAAAATCCCATCAATCTCGATCACATGATTCATTGATGTTAGCTCTATGTATTCAGTAATGTGATACAGCTATACATCAACCACTACAAGTAGGTTGATAAGCCTCATTTAATACACCATTCACCAACACGACACCACACAACACGTGCCAAGTTCTTTATCCATGTCTGTGCTAGTCAATCTCACATAACATACAATGATAACGTGTTACCCTCAATGAAAAATAATGCAAACAGGTTGTGACGTTATCGCCTTTTCATAATTTCCTAGAAAAAAAACAGGTGGTTTAAGACAACGTGTCAGAATACCTACTCAAGATCATCCATAAAAATATGGACAGAACTCCGAGCGGTCAAATATTTCACGAATATCGTAAACAAATACCAAGAATTGTTGCTGTGGTTTCTAAAACCTCAGGTTACCATTTATCGTGACGTATATTGGACATTAGTGCAATGTTTACATTCAACGAATCAAAGACGTGATGAACATATTGCGAGTTAGTAATGATGGAACGTCAGCTGATTTCTGTCAAAACTGTAAAACGTTCATTTTCACAATACTTACTGTTTGAAAAGTCTTTCTGTTCACCAGCAGTGCTGCGTATTTAGTTATCCAGGTCAGCAGTATTTCTATATAAACATCCTCGATTTATCCTTCCACATCGCGAAGCATCCTTTTAGCATGCTGTTATTTGTGTTACCCATCTGCGAGGCAAACTGTTTTGCAGCGTACTGATTGGTAGAAACTCTATTTCATTGATGGGGAAATTGCGGGAATTCGTGTGAGGCCCCAAAGAGGGGATCGCCAAATTATCTCACGCGTGCACTACGTCATGAATAAATACTGTCTACATCACTGGACAGTGCGATAACTCATTAATTATGATGTCACGTTCAAACCTATCTCAGTTTCTGAAGAGTTTTGTCCGAAATAGCTCTACCGAGCCGAGCTAATGTGTGTATGCTTATATATGGTATCCGACGTTAAATTATCTTGTAGTCTATCTTGTATTTTATCTGTTTCAAGCACGGAATTAGACTATATAAGTCCGTGGTTTCAAGCATTCAAAATTCGTAGATTTTTCCATTTTAGTTACAAAATAGGCCGTAAACCACCCAGGAATAGTGAGCTCCAACACAAAAAATAAAATGAGTAAAAATCGTTTTTAACAAATGATAAAAATCAAGCAATTTAATAAGTGTATTTGATTTTTACCTTTTTATGGGAGTGGGGTGTTGTTTGGGTTCCGTTGACTGAGAAATTAACGAAATGAAATTAATAACTAAGTTTGAATGTAGTTTAATAACTCTTCTGTTTATATGAAATGTATGAGTGTTTTAGCAACAAACCAGTTCGGTATGGTCAAATAGGTCGTTTATAAGGTCTTCCATATCCTAAATGGTAGTATATGTGGTACGATACCTAAATTGGTCCACTACACATCCCTGTACACAGTCAGAAAATGGTTCGAATAGTACTTTTAAGTTAAAATACATTTTCAGCGACATTTTAATAGTACACGGTCACATCAAATTAAACGGGTAAGAAATCTACGTCGACAAATTTTTTGATGATTTTGAAGGGATTAATTATAGCAGAGACGTATAATACATTATACGTCTCTGATTATAGGCATGTTTAAATATTGATTTCTGGTCCTTTAATTTTAACCGGATATAATATACACTTGCACCATTGTAGCTCACTTTGGTGTTCATAATAGCAATATGATTGTTGCAATCGGGATATAACTACACACGTGTAGTAGAAATAAAAGCAACTTTCATAGCCTGTGATATGGAGTAGCCTAGTAATTTGGGTACATATCATGGTCGAAAAACTGACGAAATTTCAATCCGATTTTAGTTAGCGTTCTTTTTTTTAATTACGGATTATTAAGAATCAAAACTTTTCCTGAACATGAACCACCATCGGTGTTAAGAATCAAGAAACATTCCAGATACAAAACCTAGATTTTTGTATATCACTAAAAAAATGTCAAACTAAATATGGTAGTATGACGTCTGCGTTACAACCACAGGAATCCGATATTCTGTCAAAAGTTAATAATAACAGTATTAAAAAAATAGCATTAAAAAATTAAGCATATTGTAGATGGTGTTTTTTCTGTAACACTGTTACCAGAGACGTATAATACAGAGATACGTCACTGCTGTTACTATTAGTTTTGACAGAATTTCAGATTCCTGTGGTTAAAACTAACTAACTTAATGGAGCATAACCAAAAATAGAATACAAATATTACGCTGTTTTGTCTAACTACTTGATGATTCCATTATAGGATAGAAATGCATTAGTTTGTGTAAAGGCACGCGTTGACGTAAAATCACACAACCCAACTTCATTTTTCCCAAGGCATTTTCGACTCGCATTACGACAACAAGAGTTGTCTCCCTTCCAACGTCATGATCTAGCCCAAGTCTGTGAGAGTTGAAGCACGGAATTAGATTATTTAAGTCCGTGGTTGAAGGTAGAAGTAATACCTGGAAATATACCACTACAATAATACAATCAATGGTTCATATGCTCTTACAATTTTGATATTACATGTAAGATTTTACCAATTTTAACCTTTTAGTTACTTTTGGTGTCTTTCGAGTTTCTATTTGAAACTTTAATGGGTCCAAAATGACCTGCTTGCGTCGTAGGGCCGTTTTAAGACTAATCAAACTAGAACCAGAGACGTATATATTACAATTAATATAAACGTCTCTGCTAGAACGACTAAAGAAACATTTTACACAACGTAGGGATTTCCTTCACAAGTATTTCATTGCCAAAATTTAGAGCAAATGTAAACGTTCTCCCAAGACAGACAGACAGACAGACAGACAGACACACTGGTAGGTTCTACTTCTTAGTCACAAGTTAATCATCGAAGTGAATACAGCTTTTTTGTGGTACATGCATTAAGACATGTGTATTTTATGTGTCTGGTGTAGTAGTATATATTGATATTGAATCTGCCTATAAAAGTATTATTTTTCATTGAAAAGTGTATAATCAGAGACGTATATAGTATATATACGTCTCTGGTATAATTAACACGTGGATGTGTATGCCTAACACTCACAAATGTTCATCATCTCATACCAGATATGTGACTAGTTAATTATTTTATTTGCAATACACTTAACCGATTGACTGGTCATTATGCAAACAGCGAGACCGTATTTATAAATACTACACGTACGCAGTGTTGGTCATTTTAAAAATACACCCTACTCATCTACCGATCGTACCTCAGACAGATTATTTACCTTCTTCTACCTGCAGACAACATTTACGTGTAATTCACGCGTAAATTACTCGTTAAGATTTATTGTTGTGATCAGAGGCGTATAATACGTCTCTGTTGTGATGTGATAAGCAACATCGAACTTTTATTGATTGATTGAATGTCCCGTCGCCCGGGACGACCGGTAAACAGTACACACGTACAGTTGTTAGTCGTGCTCATTCACCTGTGACGGTGCTAAAGAAAGCACGAGTAGATATAAGTTTAAGGCAAACATGTCGAATTTGTACATGTGCATTCATGTCCCCGGCTAGCACTGGACACGACGTCACTACATAGTTATATCATGGTCAGAGCTGAGTCTGTACATTACTGAGAACCTGTGTCTGACTGTCTCCTTCAATGATCAGGTATGTATACATATATACCACGTTATTTACACCGGTGTGGGTACCTATATAATCAACATCTTACCTGTACCGGTACTTACTACATGCACATATACCGTTATTGGGTAGCAGTTATACCGGGATGGGGATCATAAATAGCACGTACAACATGCAGGGAGAAGTACATGTGTGTTGGGGGAGGGGGGGACCGGGGTAATTGTGTTCGTTCAAACACGGACTTGGTAGTACTTATATAAATACCCGACCTCCTCTGCCCCGTCTCGTCGGCAGAAGCTACGTTATCGCAGCTAGCACGGACTTAGACAGTCTAAATCCGTGGTTTCTTTATTTCCTTGTGCATTAAGATACATGGTAGATAAGACATTACAGAATGATACCATGTTATACATTACAATTGTATTTAGCAATTATGCAATGTATACAACATAAACATATATACAATATAGCACGATACATCTATATAGAGCAGTACATTTAATACAATAAACTTATAATGTTAGATACACATCAATGTTCGTCATAGGTTATAGGATATCAAATTATAATATCAAAATGAAATGCACTGTATAAAGTACTCAATGAAATAGGTTGTTGAAGCACAGTGAAGTTCAATGAATTAATTAGCTATAAAAAACAATTACAATACAAAAATATTCACTATGATAATAACGTATTGTCATACACGGTGCTACTTCGTTGTATGGAGGCCATTTTTGTCTACATTCCCCGTGTATTCTATATAACACATCGGAAGTTAAGGTAAAAATACTGTAACAGGAGAGGAAAATGCACGACCAGACTGGGGTTCGAACCCGGGACCCTCCGAACTCTAGACGGACGCTCTGCCAATTGAGCTATACCTGGTTACCGACGATCGCCACAGCCCAGTTCTGCTACACCGATATAGTTTTTATTCTTTTCAGTACACAATAAACTGAATATAATATCATACCATACTCATTGTTAGTACCTGCATGTACAACACATTGAAAATAAGCGAATACCAACACAAACCGTTTAAATATACTGAAATGTATTATCTTTCAAGAAATATGGGTTAAACGGGTTAAACGATTATAAAGCATTATTTCGACATTTCTAACTTGAAAAAAGAACTTTTCTAACGTGTTCGATTCTCCAGTATTTTGAGTATCTATAAAAGCTTAATCAATCTGAAAACACCTGGTCGTTTGTTATAACAAGGCTAAAATTTAACACGAGATTTCAACACCAACACTTTGCTGCGAGTGTTGAGGAAGTGAGTGTAAAGCGGTTACAGGGCCATCTTTAGTTCATATTTATATTCAGATACATTGCTAGTTTAACCCTTTCGCCCCTATTTAACTTTAATAGACTCCACTGTGCATTGATATGGACGAGTCCATTATGGTCTACAGTGGTGAAAGGATGAAGTGTAACTGTTGATGGTATTTAAATTGATTATCTCATTTCCTGCTGACGCACGTTAAATGCTCCTCTCTTGGTCAACGTCTTTCTGTTTTCATTTGGGGCTGATATTATCGAATATCCTATCAAAGACATTGCCAATTCATTTATCACTTTTGGATACATCAAAAATGTATTGTCCTTAAATAACAAAAAAAATATTAGTACTATACAACATTTTATAGAGCTAGTTAACATAAGCCACTCTCAAGCGTTTTACAGAACATAGATATACAATTAATACAATTAGCATATACATAAATCAATACAATGTTTTGAGGAATTCGCAGGAGCTGCCTTAAATGGCGCTTACTACTAGTCCTATGTCACCTGGATAATATCTCCCTATGTGTGTGTGCTGGAGATATAATGCGACCTCCTTGGCTTGAAATCCAAGACTCTCTTCATTCTTGTTTGATAGGGCTGACGATTTCGATTTCCCATTGTCAGCTTTCCCTTTCTTGATAGTAACAATTAGGCTGCTGGCCGTGGTAGCCGAAATAGCACGAATGGTCTCTACCAAAAAATGGTCTCTACCAAAAAATGGTCTATAATTTTATAAAAATAATTAAAAATAATTGTCATTTTCTGATATGATTGAATTCGTGTTTCGAGATTTGATATCGTGAAATTAATTTAGTTTTTGACGTTTCAGGTCTGCTATGGCAGGGGAGGTTGCGGTAGACATCGGGGACCAAGATAGTCCCCCGTCTCTAATGGAACAGTTACGTATACACTACAAGTACAAAGGCAAAAGAACTGACAAACGTCACAAACGAAACGTTAAGAACGCGGTACGGTGGCTGGTTGCATTCCAGGCTCCCTCACAGCTCTACATGCTTCATGCTTACCTCATAGCCTATCTGTTAGAGGACTACGACGAATGGACACATTATTATCTCAAAGTCCTGGTCACTTACGGCGCCATACAGATAGTCGCAAATTACTTGTGTACAATCCTTTACGATACAAGACTCGTCAAAACTAGGGATAGGCCCGACCTACCGGGAGTGTCCGACCGCTGGGACAATCCACCCGATCAGTTTGTGTCGCTACATACGGACAATCAGAACGGATCTGCTGTTCCGATTCAGCCAGACGATGCCGACGATTCTGGATTTGAATGGAAATACTGTGAAAGATGTGAAATGCACCAGCCACCTCGCACTCACCATTGCGATATATGTGAAGCATGCATTCTGAAGCGCGACCATCATTGCTTCGTTGTGGGAACTTGTGTTGGTTTTAAAAACCAGAGATATTTTGTGGTGTTGACATTTTACGCTGTGATATATGGCATTTTCGGAGGGTTTCTTCAATTCAAATATCTACAGCAGATGTACTATCCCGTTAGCTATGCGTGGACAGACTTTATACCTCCAGTCGCGTTCTACCGCTGGTTGTTCGGGCGCGTGGACGCCATGTCCCTACATGTATGTATCATGATATTTCATGTTTACCTGGAGTTCCTTTACGGGATTATCGGCTTTATATATTTCACCTCACAAATGATGATGATTCCGCGGGGGAAAACGTTACACGAACTGAAGAAATTCATTCCAATTCGAAACTTAAATAGTATTAATCGTAACTTTCGCTCCGTATTTGGCGATTTCTGGGTTTTGAATTTCTTTTTCCCAATGCAGGTGATATTTCCTCAGACAGACGACGGTAAAACATGGGAAGGTGTCAAACTTGATCATAATGCAAATCTTCAGCCGAAAACTAACTAATTACAACGATAATATAAAATATAATTTCTTTTGATGTCACAACAATTAACTTATACAGTACTGTTGATTTTATTAAATTTCAAACAGATTATCAAAAAAGCATAGTGGATTTTATTTATTTAACCTCACTCAGAGTTATAATGGGAGTACAGTAAATACAGATTGATGGCAGGTACCGCCGATTAAGCAGAAGACGCTTTCCCTTCAGGAACATCTGGTCTGATTCTTTGTTATGCCATATGCTGTGTTAAAGTGTACCCTGAGCGTTTTGCTATATTAAGCTTTGAAAATACTCTCATATAATACAATATAGGGCTAAGAAAGTGAGAACGTCGTAGTTGACTCCGTTTCCGTTATTCCGTCTTTGCATATTGCAGAGTTATCTTCTCTTGGGAGCAGGTATTGATTTGTTACGTCACTTGTTTGTGAGAGTAACGTCATCAATTTTTGAAAAAACGACACAAAACAATGACGTAACAATCAATACCTGCTCCCAAGAGAAGATAACTCTGCAATACGCAAAGACGGAATATTGTTATTTATCTGAAAAAACACACATTTGGCTCAGCGGCGATCGCCTCAATATGGGTAGCCTACATCTGTGACGTCAAAACAGCCCTTTAGGAATATACCCGGAAGCTTTTTATCTATTTATATGCACAGGGACTTGACACGTTCCTATGACCCAAAATGGAAAAAAATGCCCCATGGTTCGACCCCCAGATCAATTATTATTGACAATAATAAGTGATCGGGGGTCGGACCATGGGGTATTTTTTTTTCATTCTGGGTCATAGGAACGTGTCAAATCCCTGTGTGTATATGATATGTTCCGTCGTCTCTTACTTGTGTAGGTAATGTTTAAAGTACTACATGACAGTACATATAAATATTTTGTTTTACAATTTTAATGATGAAATAATAAGTTCCTACTGAGGAGGCAAACGCTGTGCTGTATGCGGGTGTCCGAACACACATGCGGATGCTATCTAAATGAATTCGGTTTTTTTTAACATAATTCGTTAATCTAGTGACTGTAAATATTATACTTTTTATTATTAAATTGATCTCTAAATCAATTTGATGAACACCTATATACAACACAAAGTAATTTATTAAGAATTGAATTAAATTAACATAGGCGCACCCCGCCCCTTTCTTTACAATATGTATGTAGATATACGATTGGTATTGACAAAAAAATGCACCGGTACAATAATTTATACTCAAAATGAGCCGTAGCCCGTTTATTTATACCCCTAGTTATAAAAACTTGAAACATTTGTTTTATTCTTAATGCAAGCCAAGGAATTTGCGCATAATAAATATACACACCAATTTTAAGAATCTTGCAGAGGAAGAACTTGTCCGTTCAAGTATCACAAAGATTAGTATTTTATCAATGAACCACCAGATCAGATATATAGCATGGCCCAGCATTATTTTCCTTGTTCCTGACTTTCATCTGTCGGGTGATGCAGTTGTACTGAGTGTGGTTGCATAATATGTGACTCTTTGACAGTACTTACGCATTTTATTTATTCCATTTTTTTTTTTAAATTGATCCTTATACCAGAGACGTAATATATACGTCTCTGCTTATACATTTCCCCATTATCTAGCCTGAGAACGGTCAACATTGTTGTTAAATGGAAAATTGGAAGACACATATTATACACCAATTTACATACTCACTTTAGGTACCCCTTGCCCACCTGCTGACATCCCTTTGATGTCATACCTGGACACAGGTGTGTCTTGGACCTCCTGCTGTCAGCACTGGACACGGGTGTTTTTTTTAGTGTTATTTACACTTTCACATCTAAGTAGGCTAAGGGAGTGGATTCATTATTGAACCAAGATGTTAAATTATAACTTGTGTATATTACATGTATATGGAGAGAGAAAAAATGTTTGAATCTCATAATTCAATTATATTTTCGTACTTTCGAGATAAACATAATTATGGAATTAGATTATCTATCTAGAGACGTATAATACGTATTATACGTCTCTGATCTATCCAAGTCCGTGATATGATTTAGCATTGCAAACATTAGTGCTGTATTGTATTAAATAAAATGGGTAACTGTCGGTATTTTACTGTTTATTTGAAATGTCGACCTAACATAAGGAACACAAAATGTCGTCAATTTGTCATTAAACGATAATACTGAAAAAATGCCATACATTTTATTGACATTCAAAAACGTTGAAGTTATTTTGTAAATATTTTTCACTGATACATTTCCGTAATTGTGGACCGTAGCGGTACCACAGTATATAGTTTAAACATATTTTATTACTTCTAAATTCAAGCAAGAGGATTGGACACAAGTTATGACAACTTATAAAAGCCCTCTCATCAACAATTATACTACAACAATGTGATAGCGACAATAGACATATATGCACATTTTTATACCATAAAACGAATTTGGAAATCGGAAAAAAGGAAAGAAAAAACAGGTTGAAAGTGAAGGGAAATCACAAGAATATCATAAAGCATTTCTTATCATATACAACAATATAATATGTCAATTACAATATTTCTGCCTTGCACATACTAGCTACACACTACGGCTACTTCCTCTGTTCAAATTGTCCATGTAAATGCTCATTCCTAATAACCTTGCTCTGTTGTACATTCAAGCTCATTCTAGGTATCGTTTCATTGAGTTAGGCAGAAAAGAAATAGACATTTATTTTTAATAGTTCATATTACAAAAATCACTTATGACATGTTGGTTCAGAAAATGTAGTGATATGATTGGGTAGGTTATATAGAAAGTATATAGCTTTGCAATATAAATAATCCAGCACAGGATATGGTCACGAAGTATTGCTGTTCAACGACGACATGATGGAATAAGTTCTCACTAGTACTGTAGAGCAGAATAAAGTATATACGTCTCTGTGTGGAGTAAAGAAAATAATTGCAAACTGACTTTAAAGCTTAAATAAAGAAACATTTTTGATCGACAACATTGAGTATTCCTGTTTAATTTACCTCAAACTCGTTTATTCGACAAATGTATCATCAGTGCTCAGAATCAGGACATGCAATGCTACCAGTCTGTGTTGCCCTATTCAGAGTCGTCAGCTTGGTTTCTGGCAAATTTTATATGGCTGGATAACATATATACACAATGTTATCTTCAGCATAATCTGATTCCTCAAAACTTCATTTTTTTTTTATTAATTTGCAATCTGACGCTGTATGGCCATGGCTGTTCTCGATCTCGCTTATTCCTTCCATGATGACTGCTACAGGCGTTGAACTTGTGACGTCACGGCCTGTAGGGTCCTCTTCACCGCGAGTTACGATTATGCTAATTAGTAGAAGGACAGGTGAAAGTCGTACACTTTGACCGATTTTTATGCGGTTTTCGACATTTTTGTTTTATGATCATATAGAATTATAATTAATTCATTTCTATTTTCGTTCAGGGTACACTTTAATTTTACCTTTGTTCATATTTTTGTCATAGTTCCACTGATTTTGAGTTCTAATTCCGGGCCCCGTTCTCATTCTCAAGCATGAAATCTGTGCTCAAGTCGACTTTCTTCCTACTCGCTAAAATCGCTTAACAAGGTCAAAAAGTCAAGTGTAAACATTGAAAACAGTATTGGGCTTAAAATCTCTCAAAAATCCTTATATCATTGACATAATGTGATGATTTTATCACTGGCACAAGAAATTGGACTCGACCACAGAATCTGGGTTTGAGCATGAGAACAGGTTCATGGAAACGGGCCAAGATCTTTTTTCACACACTTCTGTATTCTTTAATGGGTTCTAATACCATCATCAATACTTCAAGGCGTTACGAGAGAGCGAAAGTGGGCGTAACCCCTGGAGTAGCGAGGATGTTCTCATACATGATGGTTTGAATACCTTTACTTTTTACTATCAAGGAAAATATCTTGAAGCGTCAATTATTTAAATAGTAATTGAACATATTAGCAACCATTAACGAAAGGACAGTGACAAGTGCAAAATCGATTATATTATCCTACCAAAACATTAACTCGTTACATCTATTTTTCATTTGGAACCGGACCTATGTGAGACCCTGTTGACAATGAGTTCCTAACGTCAATTTAGAAACAAGTTTGGAATTGCATTCCCCGTTTTTATGAAATTTTACCCTTATTGTTCTCCAAACTGGATGGGTTTTTTTGTGAGTTCGTGATGGATTTCCTGTTGTTTTATTAACCCCCTCTGTTCCAGTTGTCGTTTGATTTTAACTATCGCGACTTTCAACGATGTCCTTGTGTATTGAAGATATAGAGGTTACCCAACGAGTGATAGTTGGTTATCATGTTTATCTCACTCCAGTTAGTTAACTTTTTAAATTGTATAAAGACACGAGGTTTACCGAGTGTCTTTTACATTTGAAAATTAATTAACGAGAGTCAGATACACATGATTATCAACCATCACGAGTTTAAGGGCCTGTTTCTCCCACAACCTTCAGATATCATATCTAGAAACCCTGATGTTTCTCTTGGCCTGTTGATGATTGGAATGTCATGAACTATGACGTCACAGTGGCAGATGACGTTGCAAAGCGTTGTTACATGACGTCATAATTAAAAGATTGACCGATTAAATCACGTCCAAAGTGTTACCCACTATAGGGGGTAAAACCGAAAATGTTTACCAACTCCAAGCAGGTTTATCCAATGAGTCAGGAGTGAGGAAACCTACAGTGGTGGTGGGAGTGAGGAAACCTACAGTTGTTGTGGGAGTGAGGAAACCTACAGAGGTTGTGGGAGAGAGGAAACCTACAGTGGTTGTGGGAGTGGGGAAACCTACAGTGGTTGTGGGACTGAGGAAACCTACAGTGGTTGTGGGGGTGAGGAAACCTACAGTGGCTGTGGGAGTGAGGAAACCTACAGCGGTTGTGGGAGTGAGGAATCATACAGTGGTTGTGAGAGTGAAAAAGCCTACAGTGGGTGTGGGAGTGAGGAAACCTACAGTTGTTGTGGGAGTGAGGAAACCTACATTGGTTGTGGGAGTGAGGAAACCTCCAGTGGTTGTGGGAGTGAGGAAACCTACAGTGGTTGTGGGAGTGAGGAAACCTACAGTGGTTGTTGGAGTGAACCATGAAGTCCATGTGTGAAATTGAGCCAGATTCTAATATGATGAAGCTTAGATGGTGCTATCTGAGTCCGTGGATGAAGTTAGTAGTGCCGAACATAGCGAGTCGGTCTTAAGTTATGTATTCCTCAACAATTTAGGTTAGTTTGATTGGTAATGTCATATTAATAGCTAAAATCATTTAAGCCGTGCCTATGTGTGCCTCTCTCACTGTGTTTGTGTGTGTGTGTGAGTGTGTTTGTATGCGGGGGGCATGCTGTGTTGGTGCATTTACCGCCTTTATGATAGCCTGTAATTGATGCCGAATTTAGAGTGCTACCTCGCTGGAACACCATGCTGAAAGGCACCCAGCACAGTTTGTCAAACACGATGAGATGCTTTAAAAACAAATGTTGACCCCGACCTGTTACAATAACAATGTTAATAATGTATATTACTTGTCTGTCTGTAGTTAAGCCGCGATAACGTATAGCTTCTGACGATGAGATAAATATAGCCAGCCGGGCCGGGCAGAGAAGGCTGGGTATTAATATAAGTACTATTAGTTAGGCGATTTGCATACACACATAGGGAGATATTAGCCAGGTGGCATAGGACGAGTAGCTAGCGCCTGATAAGGCAGCTCCTGCGAGTTCCTTTTATGCGGGAATTAACCATTTTCCCGAAGGTTGATTTTGGTAGACTTTTTAATACAAACTCAAATACAATCAATTAAAAGGAAACAGTCGTAAAATATTCGGTTGGAATTTTCTTGAAGTTAAATTACAGAATGACCAGACTATTTAACATTGTATTGCCTAATGTATATGCTAATTACTGTAAAGCGCTTTAGAGTGGGTTATTCTTGCTAGATAGGGCGCTATATCAAATGTTGTATATTATCATTATAAAAACGTGTAGATTAAAACTATTCTAAAGGGAATTAAATAGAATATTTCATGCAATTTCTCTCATTTTTTTTTATTTTTTTTTATTTTATTTTTTTTATTGATATTTTAACTTACTACATAAGGACGTTCTCTGGAGTATTGAAAACGTACGTGTGTCTGCATTGACCTACGATGCAGTTGGTCTGTTCATGGTCCATTGCACAGGGACCTGAGCATTTGTTTCAGCTATATTTGGACCTAAACTAATTTAAAACAAGTAAAAAATAAATTTTCTCAATATTCCTTTTGGACCAAATAGGACACTTTCTGTTTTCCCTAGATGTTAAAAATAAAAGTAGGCCTAGTATAACTTTTTTTTGACTGATTATTAAGTCGAACCCGACTTTTTATATGAATAATATTAGATTTTGTATTTCACTAAGAAATTTCAAGATTTTTTTTTTTTTTTACCTTTTTTATGATAAATCAAAATATATAATTAAAAAAAAATCTTGAAAATTATAGTGCATACATGGATGCTGTGCCACTGACAGACCTCGCGGTATGGCGAATGTATTTACATAATAATATATGTCTCTGTGTTTATTTTTATATCGGAACGTTTATAAAATATTATAATGTTGAAAAAAAATATACTACTGGCTTTATATGGCTCTGTTTTAAAAGGGAAACAGATTTACTCTCTAATGCAAATAATTTACCCATTAAAATACTAGTATATTACACATTTACAAATCTTTGGTTTAACTTGAGAAGATAATAGGTAACTCGCTTTTAATTGGACTTGGAATCGAGAGAGCCCATGGCCAGGGCAGTGTATTATGCGTTGCCCTGGACGACCAGTAAACAGTACCTGCGCACACCTACCCGTACAGATAAAACCGGCGTGAAGCGATCCGTGACGGTACGAAAGAAACCGTGGTCTGTACATGTGCTTTCACGTCTCCTCGTCTGACCTGGACAGGACGTCAACTGTAATGGTGAGACCTAGATGACAGTATAAACTATCTACCCCTAGAATACCTGTGTACGACTGTCTTCTCCATGATCAGGTATGTAAACCACGTGTATTTTGTTTACACATGTAATGACATATATCTTTACGATATTATGATAATATAACCAGCTATATCAGGTCCAGTACACTCTCCCACCCGATTGAGCTATATAGCTCTATTGACCTATCTGAAAAATGTCTTTTTGAGCTATTTGCATGTGATTTTCATTTTTAAGGAAAACGAAACAAAGTCGCTTTTAAAAGAAGATTTTATCATTTGGTTGATAACAAAAGACATGAAATATATAAGCATTCTTTATACAAAATAATGAAAAATGAAAATAAACATCTAAATGTATGCTTTTTGTAGTCAACATTACCATAAACCTTATTGTTTTACGCGACTTTGCTTTAATTTAATGAAAATTGAAATATAAGAAAAAATAGCTCAATACAGCTATAATTTATTGGTGAATATAGCTATAGCTAAATAGCTCAATAGGCAGAGTGTACTGGACCTGTATATATATATGCTGATATGGCCGTAGCCTGCCCCCACCCCTGTTCCTGGATATTTTCGAGATATTTTTTCAGCGGTTGACAGACTTTTCTGGCCCTGTCATGCTTTAAAATTCTACAGTCTCTGTGGGCCAGGGGGCGAAGGGGTTAGAATCAGTACTTGACTAAGCCGAGTTTCCTCTGGCCCTGACTACAGGTACTTGTGGACATGAGTGTGATTTTTTCCATTAAAATGTTACGTAACGGAGGAATAAATTATTGTATAACAATCGCATGCTTTATTTCAAAAGTGCAAACCACCTGATAGCCTTATAACCTTATAAATACGTATTTATTAAGGCTATTAGGTGGGTTACACTTTTGAAATTAAGCATGTGATTGCTATACAATAATCTGTGGCCCTGACACCAGTACTGGACATTTTGACAGACATGGAGGTAGACTTGCATGATGTGAATAATTACTGGTCTGTTTTATCTACTTGCATTTTACTTATTCAGAGACTAATATGGAAAACTCCGGACATATCCAATGTCGATCGTACAATTTCTCAATCCGTCAATGTTGCTTTCAAAGAATTGAAAATGTGTAGTAGGACGAGGAATAGTGATAAAGATAGTGACATCGCTGGGGCTCGAACCCACACCCCTTGGCTCTCCAGCCCGATGCTCTATCGCTGGAAATTCCCTACAGCCGACGCTTGTAAGGCAACCCAATTAATCCACATATTTTACAAATGCATAGTATCACAATGAAAAGTGAATGCTTTCCAAATGTAATCCCTTTAAGCTAGGAACAATTATTTTAGGTTGCCTTAACTTAACAATGTAAGGGAGAATACTCCATACATAAAAACACATGCACAAATATATTGCATACCCTGGAATTTTTTCAAAAAAGTAACATACTCGCCAACTCCCTATTTTGGAGGGAGACTCCCTATTTGGGATTCTAAAATTGAGCATTGTCAACCAGTGAATTTGTTAAACTATTCCTATATTAAAGGATCTAATGATTTCATCTGAAAGAACAGCTCAAAAGATGCCATTTAAAAGTGTAACTTTTTTCCTAGGGTGAAGATACATGCATTTTATTTATGCTTTTAATTCTGAGCACGCGTAATCTCCCCACATGGACATTTCAAAAAGTTGGCAACAACAACAGGTACAAAACCACGGCTTACAGTGGCATACTGAATGTGTCTTTATAAATGATGCATGCTGATATAAAATGCAATACAAACTCTATTTTATTGTAGAATGTCTTTGTTTTGTTAAAAATGATCCTGGGACAGGTAAACCCTGTAACATTTGTATATTGATTCTATTTTCTGCCGGAGGGGGGAGGGAGGCTTAGGGGGCAAAGGTTCACTATTGTGTGGTAGAAATTGATTTTTGGTACAAGTTGTTATTTATTTATAATAAATTTTACTGACAAAATAAAAAAAAATCATACTGGTAAAATAACACTTTTATAACTTTCGTATTCAAGTGTAGCGGAAGTGGACTAGGTCGATCATCGGCAACCAGGTATAGCTCAATACTTGTAGAGTGTCTATCTAGAGTTGGGAGGGTCCCGGTTCGAACCCTGTCTGACTGTGCATTATTCCTCTCCTGTTACAGTGGTGCCTGTGACCAACCTTTGTTTCGGGCATTGGGTGTATGCTTGGCAAGGTGATACCCGAACCTGGGTTGTAAATATAATTGTGTCTTTTGGGACAAAGACTTTGAAAAAGGAGGGTGGAATGAAGAGGAACTGGACTGGGTCGATCGTCGGCGACCGTGTATAGCTCAATATTGGTAGAGTGTCTGTCTAGAGTTTGGAGCGTCCCGGGTTCGAACCCCTGTCTGGCCTTGCGATTTAACCAATTGAGATTAAAATCCCTTTACCCATATTGAGGGTGCTGTCTCTAAATAAACTTGAAATTTTTCTGTTGGCCCAGTGCCCTTCTTTCCTTATCGAGGGCCATACCCTTGATTTATACAACATCTGTATATTCCCTATATGGCCCCTTACCTCTGTCCAAGGGGGAGGGGAGGGGGGCACCCTTTGTTTTAATTTTTTGATTTTAGAAATGACAGAGATACTGAACTGTAACATAGTTGTACATGTATATCTTGGATTTATAAGAAAATTCATTTTCAAATATTAAAATAATTCTAATATTAACAAATCATTTTTAACGCATGGACAAAATGATTTTTTAATATTAATAAATCAGTTTTTGATTTTCTGATATTAAAAATTCTGTTTTTTGTTTGTGTAAAATGATTTTTAATATCATGAAATAATTTAATATTTGAAATGAATTTCAGATCCAATATGGCGGGGGAGGTAGTGTTGGACATTGGTAACCGGGAGAGACCTAAAACGTTGATGGAAAAGTTTCGTGAACGCTACAATGACAAAAAAGCTGACAGACGGCACAAAAATGCTGCTAAGAAGTTTATGAGAGGTTTGATGATGTTCCAGGCTCCGTCTCAACTTTTCATGTTTCACGTCTACATAATTCCGTACCTGTTCGAGGACTACGATGAATGGACGCGATATTACCTGAAAGTTTTGGTAGCGTACTGTGCTGTACAGGGTGTAGCTAACTGGTTGTGTACTATACTGTACGATACCAGTATCCCGAAAACTAAAGATCGCCCCGACTTACCGGGACTGAGCAGCCGCTGGGAAAACCCACCAGATCATTTTGTGTCTATACATACAGCCAATCAGAATGGATCGGCTGTTCCAATTCAGCAACACGATGTTGATGATTCCGGTTTTGAATGGCAATATTGTGATATTTGTAAAATCTTCCGACCTCCTCGTGCGCATCATTGTGAAACGTGTGAAGCGTGTATTTTGAAGCGCGATCACCACTGTTTCATGGTGGGAAACTGTATTGGTTTTAAAAACCAGAGGTATTTTGTAGTATTGTCATTCTATGCTGTGATAATTGGGTTTGTTGGTGTCTTTTTTCAGTTCAAATATCTACAGCAGATGTACTATCCAATTAGCTATGCGTGGACAGACTTTATACCTCCAGTCGCGTTCTACCGCTGGTTGTTCGGGCGCGTTGACGCCATGTCCCTACATGTGTGTATCATGATAACACAAGTGTACCTGGAGTTTCTGTTCGGCGTATTAGGTTTTCTCTATTTTACCTCACAAATGGCCATAATCGCCCAGGGCAAGACACTCTACGAACTGGCTAAATCTATCCCTGTTCGAAACTTAAATACTATCGGTCACAACTTTCGCTCCGTGTTTGGTGATTTCTGGATTCTGAATTTCTTTTTTCCGATGCAGCTGATATTCCGTCAGAGGGACGACGGTAAAACATGGGAAGGCGTCAAACTTGACCATAACGCAAATCGCCTGGAAAAAAGCAATTGATAATGTTGATACTGTATACCGGGAAATTTTTCCACGCAGTTTGATTTTTCGTCTTTTCTGCCCTCCATAATGAGGGCAAATTTATCACGACCGTGAAAATAAGTACACCATCTACTATACATAGTTATAACAGGTGAAAGGCGAAACATGACACTGCGCAAAAAAGTTAAAAGTTAAAGAGTTAAAGAGTTAAATGCGAAAGGTTTGACAGGGTGAAAGATTCCTGGTATACAGTACGTAGTACAGAGGATTCCATTGGTCACTTTTTTTATTTCACTCTATTTATATCTTTCTCTATACATGTAGAGCAGTGGGTAAGTTCTGAGATTGAAACTCAATAAGTTTCACTTTTCCTTTTTATTGTTTCATTTATTTTTTATTTATATTTTTATTTATTCAGATTCAGATAATCATATTTTGATCGACTGTGATTTTGTGTTTGTAAGGAATACATCTGTGAAAATGACAATTATATATTTTATATTGGGCCGAAAAGAAAGGATTTTGTTTTTACCCCTGGCCCTGACCCTTACAATTGTTTCTCGCTCGAACATACTTGAATGTCCCATTCAAATACACGTAAAAGGTGTGTTACGATTTGCCAAGATGGCCGGTCAAATCCGACTGATGTCTCAAAAATTTGCATAATGCATGCATAAAAATGGATATCTATCCTTTTTCTGCTATGAGAAGTCAAGGATATTGAAATTTTGGTCTAAATCAAATCAATATGGTTGATTGAAAATAATGAGCCTTTTTGTAAGGTATTCTATCTTTATCTGTTTATTCTCAACTTCTTCCCAAGCATCACCATAGGGATTCGAACAAATTGTCGACATTTAAATCAAAATTTAACTCCATCCAGTGTGGGGATAACTTGTCCATCAGATGCAACTGAACTTGTATATTAATATTTAAAACTTGGCTATAACTGGAGAGTAAATTACCGTCTTAAAGTGTTTCCTCTATAAAGAAAGTGCCTGTCTAAAAGGAATAATTTGGTAGCAAATACCTGTCTTTAAAAACCACCTCTTTATATAGCAGGTACCTTTTTACAGAGAATAGATTTATAAAAAGATACATGTCTATAAAGCCCACCTCTTTATAGTGAAATACCTGTCTACAAAGCCCACTTCTTTATAGCAGAATATCTGTCTATAAAGCCCACTTCTTTATAGAAAATACTTGTGTATAATAACTGTCTGGTTGGTTGGTTGGTTGGTTGACAGGTTTTTTGCCTACATGATTCCACCCATGCGGGTTTCATCTCATTGACGGAAGTCGGTGTTCTGTCGGCGTGAGGGAAGTTGCCTTCCCTCAGGGGTGGGGAGGAGTCGCCTATACTATATTTAATCCTTATATTTTGTTGAAATTTTGGGAGATGACTTCTTGGTCCGAAATGGTTGGTAGGTGTGTCGCGCAGGTCGCTGCAACTTAAAATAACTGTCTACAAAGACCATCCCTTTATAGCAGATATCTATGAAGGTCACATATGTACATGAACAATTATGGAAAATACCTGTCTATAATGCCCAGCTCTTTATGGAAAATAACTGTCTACAAAGACCATCCCTTTATAGCAGATATCTATGAAGGTCACATATGTTCAATCTTACTTACCACTTAATAGATCAATAATTATTTTTTTATGAACATGAAGATCTGTAACGTTTGCTTTGACATAGACTTATTTGAATGCTCTGTCAAGATCAATTACTGCAAATTGTTTTCGAATTCGCCCTTCATACCCTTCAGTAAGAAAGAGCTAAACATTACAGAAAGCAGCCGTTTGTGTGTTCGTTACAGCATTCTCGTCCAACATTTAGAGGTCAGTCATCATTGTTTACACTGTCGCGTGCACACTGGTGACTGTCATGGACGTCTGTCATGTTTGAAAGTGACAGCATTAGCTGCAAGGTACAATAATTGGACTTTCAAATATATTGTTTAATTCCTTTACCCCTGAAATTTTATAATGGACTATTCCAACCTTTGAATTGGATGAGTTCAAATGTGTCTTCAGGGGTGAATGAGTTTAGACAGTTATGTACATCACATGATGTGCAGTTTTCACATGACATATTCCCCGTCAGCTACAGCAGTGTTAATTATTTATTTTAAAATAAAATAAAGTATGCGTATATAGTTGTGCCTTATAGAACAATATTTTTACTTGTCAGTTATGTTAAAGACCATTTTCATTTACTGCAATTGTCAGCAATTTTGCTATTTTTGTAAAAATCGGTGTGCCATGTTAAAGAAAATGAAATCAATTTACTTACCGGTACCAATTTACAATCTCCATCAGTGTGCTTTTACCAGCAATTTTAATATTGCATGTTATATAAAAATCTTTGTGCCTTGTTAAAAAGAAATGAAATATAATTTATTAACTTGTCAATTTACAATCTCCATCAGTGTTATTGCCAGGAATTTGATTATGATGTAAAAATCTGTGTGACATGTTTAAAAAATGAAATTAATTAACTTGTCAGTTGACAGTCTACATCACTGCTGTTGTTTGCAATTTTGATAATAATGTAAAAAATCTTTGTGCCTTGTTAAAAAAAAAGAAACTCATTTACTTTTCAATTCAATCTTCATCAGTGCTAAGCCAGCAATTTTGATATTTTTTTTTATATAAAAATCTATGTGCCTTGTTTAAAAAATAAAAAAATAAATATAAGTTGTAAATTGCAATCTACATCAATGCAATTCTAGCAATTTTTCGATATTACATCTAATATGAAAATTGTGTGCCATGTTTTAAAAAAAAATGGAAAATTATTTACAATTAACAAATACTAATTTCCACCAGTGCTATTGGAAATTTTGATTTTTGATTTCAGTTTTGATAATACATGTTATATAGCAATCTGTGTGCCATGTTAAAAATACAATCTCCGTAAGTTTTATTGAGATAAAGCTTTCTCGCACCTCAGACAGAGATATCCCACGTCATACCCCATGCTTGATTTTTCTATCTCGTCCAATCTGTCTTGTACCTTCACGTGAAATTTCGCGGAATTTTTACACTGCGATGTATTCATCCGCGCGTTAACTGCTTGAAATTGACAACTTGCATTATAAATGTTCTATTTTGTCGTTATATGTATAGTTTTTATGTTGTTAGATATTTGATGTTGTAGATAAAATATAATCTACACTGTGAAATATGTTGTCATCTATGTAAGGACAGACTACATTTTTACCCGTAAGCGTTGAAATGTGGCTTAAGTAGTGAAGAGGTCATTATCATTTGAGGCCCAAGGCGAGATACTTGTAGTTTCAAGCAAAATTTAATGTTTTTTTCGAACTAAAAGGTGCGAGAGAAAAAAAATGATCAGGTTATCTCAGTCTCGGGCTAAGATTCTGTAACATCCCAACCTTGGCTTACACCTGGGTTTGGATTTTGTTGCAGAATTTTAATCCTCGACTGAGATAACCCGATCTCGCTCATTTACAGGTAATAGATTTTAGAAGTCCAGGGTAAGAAATGGGTGTAAGAAATTTCTATGTAACACCCAATTTCATGTGACGTGACGTCACAATTAATGGCTCAACACAATGACGTGACATCACGAATATTGTTAACTGACAATCTCATTCTGTGCTATTGCTGACGATTTTGATAAAACATCTTATATAAAAATTTATGTGCCATATTGAAGAAGTTGTTTATTAACTTGTCAATTTACAATCTCCATTGATGATACATTCTATTGTAACATAGAAATCTTTGTGCCATGTTAAATATTGAAACAAAAAGAGATTAATTTTCTTTTCAATTTATAATCTCCATGACTAGGCATTTTAGTGCTGTTGACGGTAATTTTGATAATAATGTAGAAATTATGTGCCATGTTTAAAAAGGTGAAATCAATTTATTTGTCAGTTTACAATCTCCATCAGTGCTTTTGCTAGCAATTTTTATTAATTTTGTAAAAACCTGTGTGCAATGTTTAAAAAAAAAAGGATTTTCCTTTTTTGTTTTCACATTCCCTGTTTAAAAGAATGGAGAATATTTCCAGGTCTATATATATGTGTCATGTTAAATAAGATATTTTTTTGTTAACACATTGCATGCTTAACCCTTTCACCCCTATGTAACTTTAGTAAACTCTTCCATGCAAAAATCTGGATGAGTTCATTATGGTCTACAGTGTTGAAAGGGTTAAAAAGTAAAGGAAACATATTTACTTGTCTGATTGCAATATTCTTTGGTACAATTATTGTAAGCAATTTTGATAGTTAATCGAGCCATGTGTGCCATATTTGAAAAATATAATAATTTGTCAGTTTACAGACTCTATCCATTATGGTGTTATTACCAGCAATGCTGGTGATTCATGTTTGTGCCTCCTTTTATAATAAAATCTCCATACTTTCTTACCATTGTGGAGTGTTATCAGTTAAACACAGTCATGGTTTGTGTTATTCCATGGTATAACTATGATATATGTTTACTTTCATATATATACAATACAACACAATATACAATATTTGATATAGTGCCCTATCTAGCTAACATAAGCCACTCTAAAGCGCTTTACAGTACATAGATGTACAATTAATACAATTAGCATATACATTAATCAATATAGTTTAGAAGAATTCACAGGAGCTGCCTTATCGGGTGCTAACTACTAGTCCTTTGCCACCTGGCTAATATCTCCCTATGTGTGTATGCATGCGTGTGTGCTGGAGATGTGATGTGTTCTGTTTGTAGTGGGACCTCAATATCACAAATAGCTGTCTACATATTGTTGGGCTCACTTCTTTAACAAACTTAGCATTGATTATCAATATTTTTTTTAATTTTATTTTTTGCTCAAGATGACAATTTAAGGTCCTGATTTTTATTAGGTTTTAGTATCAATCTAAATAATTGAAATAACAGAATTTTGAATTTTGGTGTGATTTAATTTGTGTATCAAGCAGATACCTATGTATGTCATCTATGCAGAGAAAATTACTTATAAATATAAGAAACAGTCCCTTCTAAATTTTATATCGGTCAACAAGAATGCTTTAAGCTGAGCATGATATTGTTTGTGACAAATTGGTGGAAAGCATGTGATTCAGAAAGGAAAATGCGTTCAAGCAGAACCCAAGCAGAGCCTGTACCTATGTAGTTTAAGGTTGGTTGGTCTGATGTCCTATCAGTGTAGGTGTCTGGAGGCATGGTAGGTTGGTGTTATGGCCTCCTTGTGACAGCATGGATCTGATGTGAACTTTAGAGTGCTTCCTCACTGAAATACTATGCTGAATGCATCTCGCACGGCATCCGCCCGGTCACATTGTACCGACAACGGGTGAACCAGTTGTTACTATTTCCATTTTGCTGAACGTTAAGCAGGGAATAACAACTACCATTTAGTCCCAACATGAGGACAGTCCAAGAGTCCATTGCCTTTCTCACCTTGGTGAATGTTGAGTATCAAAGCCAAAGTGAGGTATTGTCAAGCAAGGCGCTAGGAAACAAAAGTTAGCTAGAAGTGGAGAGAAAAACTAAGATCCCAAATATTGCAATGGATGCAGCAGATTTATTTTGGTTGCTTTTGTGTCCCAAAGTAAAGGCACACACGGAAATCCCCAATTCTGCAGGTGGTTCCGGCATAACCCGCCTCTTACGATCTTGCAATGGGTAACAGCAGGTGTATTTTCTCGACCTCCGAAATGCAGGGGTACATGCTAATGGAAATTTGAACCAGTAGGATTGATGTGATTGAATTTGTGTATCTGCAAAGAAAATTACTCGTACCAGGTTTTTTTTCGTATCGTTAATTTTAGATGGGGCTTTTTGGGAAGAATAAATAAACAAGTCCTTGCGAAGGAAAATATAGAATAAAACCATGAATCTGTCTGATCTTCCGCTAGGTCTTTCTGCCTTCTAGGGCTTCTACAGGCGGATTGTTGTGTATTTATCACCGTTGGTCACACAACTTATATATTGATATAAGTGGGAAGGAAATTTTCAGGAAGTTTGAGAATAAGGCAAACATATGAAATAGTTTTAGTTGGGAACGGGGTCCATTATCTACCCAAAACATTACCCACTGCATACATATAAACAATCCCTTGTGGGTTTTACGTCAGTCAACAATCACACTTCAAGCAAAGCATTATATAATATATACTTGCAACAAATTGGTGGAATAAATGTGATTCGGGAAGAAAACAAATTGTCCATAAAACAATATTTGGACCTTAATTAATTAAAGGTGATCAGAGTAATTTTACATAGTTTAGGGGTTTAGATCAACTTTCGGTTAAAATGCCACCCCAATGGCAGGGTTCTCCCCAGAATTATTTTAAAGCTGATATGTTTCATTTTCATCGGACGTTCAAGACGGACACAACACTGTAGCATGCTCCACAATACCATATCAAATTTAGAGGGAGAGGTCATAATGTAAATGTGGCCCTTAATTGCTGTCTCTTTGAATAATCACCTTTATTTACCAAACGTTTGGTGAATTTTAAATCCAAAGAATAAAAAGAAAAGAAAAGAAAAAAAGTTCGTTATGTATAGTTTTTCAGCAATATAATTGTTTAGATATTATAAAAAAAAATATAGATATATACGTAAAAAATTACTCTAAACACCTTAATTTCAAAACTCCTTTATTACAAATGTTATGGAATGTATGTGTTGCTATATGCCTTAGGAGTCTTGTTGAATCTTATCAATTTATATTTGTCTAAGCTGCTTGTCTTTTTCATGTTTGACTCATTGGGGTCATAAACTACACACTACTAGAAAGCGTTGTGCCAAGGGAGAAATCTGAATTACAAAGGGCATTATCTATTGTGAAAATTGATGCAGGGTCCCAATTTTATTACATACGTTTCATCATAAGATATTAGTAGCACATTCAAATCACAGGTGTTGGACACACTGATAATATGATGTGTCGGTTAAAATGTGGAACTAGTTGCATTCAAAATAACGTAATATTCAAAGGGATGAAAATGTAAACAGAAGATGCATACCCTTCCGGAACACCTGGTCTGACTCTCTCCTTGTACTTTTTCAAAGATCTTTATGTAAATTTTTCCATTGTTTATATTATGCGCAAGTTTGATTGATTTTGAGTTCAAAATATGTTTTTTTCTAAAACTTCCACATTCTCTTGCTGTTTTTCAAAAAGCATAATTACTTGAAAAAATAATGCAAGATCCTGCTTTTACGTTGTACGAATCTTCATATGGTACTCGTGGCACATTCGAAAATTTGGAACACTCCGTTGAAAATTAAAGGACTAGTTGCGTTCATAAGAAAGTAATGATGGACAGACAGACGGACAGTGTGATAGCATAAAACGATTCACTTCACGGACGTATAAAACAGTTACAATAATCATAAAAATCAGAAACAGTTTGATACTATAAACTTAGCTGTTAATAGGACGCTAAACCCAAATAAATTAAACCAATCAGAAACAGTTAAAAGTGATATTGTAATCTTATCAATAAAAACAATTATACGTTAACTTGTATATTAAACGTAACCGTTGCCTTTGATACTATATTTATAAGAAATATTACCCTGTGATTTTGTTTAAGAAATATTTGCCGGTGATATTGTATAAGAAACCGTTACTTGAGTTTTATATCATAGCCATAATATATGATTACCCATTTTATATACGAAGGAAAACCCTTCATATACATCATCCAATTTTTCAAACGTAGACATACTAGCTAGGCCTCTTCCAATTATCCGCTAATGATAAGGATACGGACCTGCCGCTCCTCTACCTGCTTATCCAATTAAGCCATTGCCCAAACTTCTCACTACCATTATATCAGGATTGCAGTCGTGTTGTGACAATGTATGTGGATTTTGAAAAATCATAAAATATTTTGTGATCAATCTTGAAAATTTTCTTTTCAAAGGTGTCTCTTCCATCGAAACCTTGACTTGACGCTACTATACATCATAAAGTCTCTTGATTTGATAGCATTCTTTTTCAAGAAAGACAAATGGCGATATAAGT